GTTGCAGTCTTAAAAGTTGCCTTTTCAATTGTCAAATGTTTTTACTCAATTTCCACATCAATGAAGGAATATCAGGCAGGTGTTAATCACCATGTTGATGGCCCTATTTGCATTTCAGTGGATTGTTTTTACAATTAATGGTATGAGCTATGAGGGTAGGCGTCAACAAAACAAAGGACAAGTTGGATTATAGACTGCTTATATAGTGGCTTTCTATTGTACTGCACTAAAACATAAGTTTTCTGGTATCTTATATTCACGGTTACAAGTTTTAAGACAGTGCAGGTAGCTTATTAGATGGTGTAGGTTTGAGTCCCTATAACCATGTTTTGGGACTGCAGGAACATTTTTTTTAAAATTTGGAAATAGATAACTCGAACAAGAATGAATATATTTTCATGATTGCCTTATTAGATGTAGATTATGCAAATCAGAAGTTAATTTGCATGTTCCCTTCTGTAACTCCAGCTATGTCCATAACATGGAGAAGTTGCTGAAGGGAGTGTACAGAGAGCTGGGTCTGACCCTGCCTGACCTGCTGGCTCCAGGACTAGATGAGAAACATGACCTCCCTAACAAACTCTCCGTCGGCCCTGCTGCATCTGTAGCCTCTGCTGTGGACTCGGCATCTTCTGTCAGCTCACAGAGGTATGGTACTGTAGGAAGATAACTCTGTGATATGGCAGATTTGTACTAGAAAGGCAACATTTGCAAGAGAATGTAGGATATTTCACTCCCATTCCTCCAAACTAAAAATTGTGTGGTCTAGAATCCATACATTTTTTTATCACTGCAGGAGTAGGTAACAATGGTTGAAGAATGTACTAAAGTAATACTAATAGTGATATCAGTTTATGACACTTTTTCTCTCTGAAATCAGGGGTTCCAGACGGTTTGTACGGAATCCCAGTTTGATGGATGCAGGGCAGAAGAAGGCAATCCTGGTACATGTGGCTCCTGCAGACAAGGCAAAAAAGGTACCATTTCTTACCTAATCTGCACCTATGCACAATGTTGTGGGGAATTTGTCAGATTATTTCATTATACAAACCCCTGTATTGTGCGGTAACATCTCCCTGCACTTGTTTTTCCAGAGTAAAAGGAAAAGGAGGAAGTCAGGTAGTGCCAGGAAAAAACGTTCTGATCCTGTTGCTGTTAAAGAAGAAGGTAATTGGAATTTAAGACAATACAGTATTTGCAGTTCAATTCCACTTGTTTTTTTGAGACTTTTACACCATTGTTTTCGTGTTAGATGTATGTCAAGAGAAGAGTGTTCGTAGTCTTGTTTTATGAGACTTTTGCACCATTATTTTGCGTTGTTAGATGTAAGTGAAGTGAAGAGAGTCCGTAGGAACCTGAGCATGTTGATGGATGGAAGTCAGTCTCCCAGTAAGCTGTCCCGCCGTGCCTCCATGCCTGCTCCCAGTCTCCCCAGCCCCAGGAAGAGTCCACGTAGGGGCAGCACCAGGAGTGTTACCACTCCCAGAGGTAGGTGAACAACTCAGTAAAGGCAATAAGTTTGAAAGAAGCTTATGGGATTCATAATGTTATCTTGATAAGAATCTTGCCAAGTGTAGACTTATATTTCAAAGTGTGTGAGGTGAAATATAGTGTTGGTATTGAACCAAAACATTTCTCTAGTGTACTACTTGTCCATTAAGTTTGAGGGTTAGGTGTTTCACCTTGCAGGGTACACACAGTGACAGAAAATATGTACTAGTATTACTTCATTGTGATGATTTTATGCTGTGGGTCTATGAAGACTTTATCACATAAAATGAATGTAAGTAAACCTGTAAGAAACATACAAAAATAACACGAGTCGTCTGTCCCAACCATGCAGGTCGCCACATACTCAAGGACAATACAGTTGAGGAGACTCCTGCAAAGAAGCAGCTGTCTAACGCCCTGTGGCAGAAACAGGAGAGGGCACGTCTCAGGGCGAGGACCAACTCTGAGGTGTTTGTCGTGGGGGAGTCTCCAGTCAAGCCACTCACTGCACCAGGTTGGTGTCTGGTTCTTCTGTCTGTGAATTTTTTAAGTATTCTGTTAACATACAGTGTGTAATGCAAAATGTATCAGGATATATCAGGATAAATGAACTTAGGATACTGTTATTCTTTCCCACAGGTACAGAACCATTAAGAAGAAGTCCAAGGAAGCATGTATCTAGTTTCAGGAGGCGGCCTTCCTTCTATGACCCCAGCAAACGATCTCGGTATGTTGTGTCTGCCCAGAGAGTAGCTAAGAAAATCCGCGGCTGCAATACCTCACCATTAAAGATAGACTTCACTTCTCCACGGAGAACTCCCAGAAAATCTCCTGCCAAGTTCCTCCTGTCAGAACTGTTAGGATCTGCAGGTAAAGACAGTCCCAGGAAGAAGACTCCCGAGTTGAGGAGAACACCCAGGAAGACAGGGCACAGTGCAGCTTCAAATGAAGCTGTATCTGCACTGGAGACACCAGAGAAGAGTTTTAAAACTCCTACGAAGAGAAGCAGATGTGGTCGCAGCTCTACAAGACAAGCATCCTCTATTACACCAACAA